GTAGGTGTGGAGGAAAGCCGTCCACCACTTATCGAACCGACTCTTACCGTCCGCTTCACTACAGTCCACATCAATCACATCACTCGTACAGTTCAAGGCGTCGTCTATCGCACTGGTAGTCAGTATTTAAATAAAAAGTTTTCAACCATTTTAAGCAAAATCTAATGGACTATAAGTGAAAACATATGATTTGATGCAATACTTGCAGAGATTTTCCAGATAGCCGTCGGAAAAGTGTGTGAATTGAGTGCTATTCTCGTGAATGATTTGTTGCAACTGTTTGTGAACAGCACTGAAGCAGTCGTTTGCAAACCCAGGTTCGCATCGATCCTCACTCGACGCTTACAAATAACACTCAATTAGTTTTGTATTACAATTAATTTTCTTAATTATAAATCTCATACCAAAACACATTAATAATATAAACGGTAAAATTCCTATATATTTTAAATTCATACTAATTGATATTTCGACACCAATTTGTATGTTAAGTATTGAATATTGAATTGTGCAGGATATTCACTTAATAATAAATGATTTTCACTTCACTTATTCGCAACACTATTAATTTATATAATATTACAATAATTTTAAAAACATCTTCAATAGGTAAACAATTAAAATGTTAAAAATGTAAATAGCTTGGTCACTAACTTTATAATTAAAAGTTATGAATAAAATGTTGAAATAATGAATTGATTGGTGAGTGTATTGTGCACTCAATCAATGAGAGGATATGACTCCAAAGGAAACGGAATTTGATTTAATGATTAGATTTAATTGTAAGCCTTTGTATTATATTGGTTTTGAGCTAATCATAGTCCCAACAACTGTTTTGGTGTCAAATGACCGTGGTTATTAATATTTGTAATACGATGAATATGCAGGAGATTTTATTTAAAATATTATATTATTTAACTTACAATAAGTGAAGAATGTTTAAATTGAATCTTTTAATTAACTTAGTTTAATATTTATTCATTAAAATGTTTATTAAATTTTACTAATTAATTAAAATATGTGGTTATTGTAAATTTTTGGATTAGTTTTATTAAATTATTCATAAATATAAATATATTGGAAATATTTTAATGTAAACAACAATTAATTGAGAAAATAGTCTAAAATATAATTTAGTTTTCAATTCATGACTAAACGGTGGGAATGATTGGTCTTCTGAGCGAACATTGAGATCGAGTGGACTCGGGTTGAGTGGAGTTGTCGATGAGCTCCCGTCTCAGCCAAGTATAGGCCCGACTGTTGGACAGTTGGCTCACAACACACGCACTCAACGCGCTCTTGTGTTGAGCCATTCGCCACATTTCCTGCCAACTGTTGGTCATCGGGTTATAGGCCTCCACATCGGCTATAGTTGTTGTTCCCTATAATATCAGACTTTCAATTATAAACACTGAATATAATGTCAAAAACGAGACATACATTGAAGCCTCCGATCACATAAATCTGGTTCTCGAGGACAACCGAAGCAAAGTTAGAGCGAGGGGTCGACATATCAGTCATTAGTGTCCAACCTCTGGTTTTGGGGTCATATCTCTCTAAACTGGTCTGTCGTGCGGTGCCATCATTGCCTCCAATTGCGAACAGGTATTGGTCATCGAAAGCAACTAATTGGACACCACTTCGGGGTCTTTCCATTTGAGTGATAAGAGTCCACTCGTTGACTGATGGGTCGTACACTTCGGCATTACTTAAGACTTCACTGCCTATGAGTCCATACATTAGAGACAATGAGAACAAGTGAGAGCAGACTGACAGCAAACAAACCGTTAAAACCGCCGACGATATACACCTTTCCCGCCATTTCAACACAATTTAGTGTTTATTTAAAACATAATTTCAAAGAATTGAGTTATAATACCATCGCATATATGAATCCATTACAATGCGCTACACTTACGTAACACCTAAAGGAAAGTTATTAGGAAATCAAATGCAAGTTTCAATGGACTGGAATGGTATCAAAAAAGCTAACGTTGATGTCAAACCTGGGGGAATGCATACAAGACTTCTCACTCAATGTTTTAGTGATCGGATTGAAAGTGAATACAGTATTGAAATGTTGTCGTCCCTGAAGGCAATCAAATGAATAATATTTAAATGAATTTGACATTTAAAGTCAGAATTAAATGTTTAGCAAAATTAGCGTTTTTTACATCAAAGCCTCCGATGATATAAATGAGACCATTGAACGAAATGAGTCCATGATATGAGCGAAAGGGTGCGGACCTAAAGAATTTCAATGAAAATATATACAGAATATCAAGAATTGGTGTATAATTTGTCTTATCCTACACTAGACTCTGGCTATCAGTTGTGTACCACTTGTTGACCCGACAGTCGTACGACTCGATAGTATTGGTGGCATTAGAAGCACTCCAACCGCCGAAGACAAACAGAATATCTCTCGGAATCCGTGGTCTCAGGAATGGATGCAAACGAATGTCGAACTTCGAGGGCAACGGATGTAAATGAATGTCATTTAAGACATTGAAGACAGTAGTGATGTATTCGTGACCCTCTTCAGAATATCTCTCGGAATCCGTGGTCTCAGGAATGGATGCAAACGAATGTCGAACTTCGAGGGCAACGGATGTAAATGAATGTCATTTAAGACATTGAAGACAGTAGTGATGTATTCGTGACCCTCTAATGGTTGGCTGATATCCAAGAGTTGATCGCAGAATAAGTGAGTTCTTCTCGGCTAACATTCAGCCGATCGTCACTCAAGATGTCGGACAACTCGTCTTTACTGAGAGAATAGAAATCTGGACATTGGTTGACAACCTGTCAATGGGAGGGAATGGCATATGAATTGCTTTTCACACAAATCAATGTTTGTATCAATGATTACAGCCATGAAGTTATAGAGAATGAATTCCTTTGATTTGTCGATCACTCCAATCGCATAATACATTCGCGACATTTGGTAAATCCCTTCAAATGTCGTTCAAACCATTATATGTATTGAAAAAAGTTTTTACATTTCTGTAAATACTTATGCAATTCTTGGTGTCCAGAGATTTAGTCCAATATCCATAGCAGTACTCAAGAGCTCCAGTGATTTGGAGTCTATTGGCCGCTCGAATGACTGCCTCAATGTTGGTGTCCTTAATCCCTAACAGTTGTCCCGTATATACGAAGTCAACGATTATTTTCATAGCCATTGACGAGATGTCCGGCAAAACACTTCTCGGCTCTGGTTTTCGGTGTACAGAGAGTTGGAGTAAAGGGCCATAAAGTAGGGACTGATGGCTGCGAACATATTCCTATCGATTGAGAACTTCTTGAAATCCGATGTAATTATGGTGGAGTCGACAAACACGGAGTTCCTCTGCATTTCCAACAGTTTGCTCATCCATTCGACCCTTTCTTTGCTATAAATAAAAAAATTTTAAAAATTAAAAGTTTTCATTAAATGACTTCCAATTCAAATCCACTGTTACTTAGTATCCGTCAAAACAAAGTGAATGTCCATTCCTTTCAAAGACTTCTTTTTGCCTAAAATCGCTTTCTTTGCCTTNCCAATTCAAATCCACTGTTACTTAGTATCCGTCAAAACAAAGTGAATGTCCACTCCTTTCAAAGACTTCTTTTTGCCTAAAATCGCTTTCTTTGCCTTTGATTTCCTCGATTTGATCGGCTTTTGACTCATTCTTCGCTCAAATAATCAATCAATTTGTGGTTTCTTTTCACAGCGGAATCCGTTTTGAAATAAATTACTCGTTAAATTAGTAAATGGTTTTCAATTCAAACTGAATATTTTCTGTCAAACTATGGTTTATTCAAGTTATACACAAATTCACTAACAATTAAATCAATTGTAAAAACTACTTCAAACCATTTAACAATTAAATTTCATTGCATTTCCAATTATGATTGCAATTATGATATACTCTCGTGAGTTATGTTTAAATCTCGAGACCCGTTATTATCGGTAAAACTTGAGATCAAAAACTTTTAATAAATGCTAATCTATTAGCAATCTATTAGTAAACTTGCAAATCAAGTGTTTTTCAATAACTTATTGAAATTAAATTAGACTACTTACGATACATTATCAAAATTATAGTGTTATTATAGTGTTATACTGTATATTACAGTTAGAATCGCATTCATTAACAATGAAA